AAGTGGGGGATATTAATTTGGGTTTGTCCGTCCGTCCGTCCGTCCGTCTTTCTGTCTGTCTGTAACGCTTTCGTTTCCACACGATATCTCGAGAACCCTTTGAGCTTTTGCAATGAAATTTTGCATAGCAACTCCCTTTGGACTAAAGAAGATCCCTATTGATTTTGAGGTCAAAAGGTCAAAGGTCAAGGTCATAAATAAGCAAATTCTGTCTGTTAAAACACTTTCGTTTCCACACGATATCTCTAAAACTATTTGAGCTATTGTAAAAAAAATTTATGTAACAACTCCCTGTGACCTAAGGAAGACCCCTATTGATTTTGAGGTCAAAAGGTCAAAGTTCAAGGTCGTAAATTTATACATTCTGTCTGTGTGTAATACTATCATTTCCGGGCGATATTTCAAGAGGATTTTGAGCTTATGCAATGTAATTTTATACCAAAACTCCCTAGGACGTCTCTCGCCCCTCTCAAAGTGCCCCGCCCCGTTTGTTTTATTAGTATTTATAGTATTACATGTCGCTAATTTTAGCGCAGTTGCATGAGGAGAGTTATCGCGTATAAAACAGGTTCTCGGCGGACTTTATGTTCTTAATACATCTATTAGAACTGTTTAATAAAGGCTAAATAAATCAAACACCATAGATTGTGTAAAATTTTGAGAATACCGAACATGAAAACATGAATATATACATGTATGTGAATTCAGTTCTGCATATACTTCACATTGAGTAAAGCGATTCCGTGGTCCAGTGGTCATGTCTCTCGCTTCAAGTGTGAGAGGTCCCGGGATCGAATCTCGGTCGATTCTTACTTTCTTTCTTTTTTTTTTTTTAAATACTTTTTTTTTTTACTAAATGATAGTATTCAGCATGTGAAATGAAAAATTTCTGAGGTTATAAAATCATTATTACAGTGTGATAAATATTCCGTATAAAAAGAATCTTCTATACACATAATAAAGAATAAGCAATCAAATCTTTATATGCATGTTGACATACATGCATTTTATTTGCTTCAGTATACATGTATACATTTAATAATTCTACAAATTTAATTATTTACATATTAAGTCAGGGGGATCCGACATCCCCCCCTCCACGAACTGCGCATGGTTTACTTTTTCCCTAAGCGGGGGACACAAATTCTCTGAATTAGCTTGTGTACATTGCATGTACAATGACTTGAAAAGTAGACTATCATGGTTTGCACTGCCACCGTACGTACAAGAAGGATATGGAAATAACGAACAGTATTCAATCTCAACGTCCATTAAACAAATATACAAAATAAGTGCAGAGCAAACACGGACCTCCGAAACATCAGAGGTGGGATCAGGTGCCATGGAGGAGTGAGCATCCCCTGCCGACCGGTCACACCCGCCGTGTGCTCGTTGTCATAATCAGGATATAACGGAAAAAATCCGTGGTCAATTCAGTGTATAAATAATGGACTAACAATTGGTATGAAAAACGAATGACTTCAGATCAAAATATTATTTTTTGTTCCTGGTAACTTTATTGATTTCGGTATAAGTTCTTGTGATAGAAATTCATTGAAATGAGCAATGGGATTTTAAAGATAGAATTCATGATCGAGAAAAGAAAATGTTTTCGGATTCCACAATAAAAATAACAATAAATTGTTGTACCTGTACATATATCAGGAATAAAGACACTAAAATTCTAAACATAAAAATAAAAGGAATATTTTTTTTTATCTTTTGAAAAGAATACAAAAAATTAAAAAGTGGTGAGGTTCCGGGGAAAAATATCTTTCTTAAGTCATTTTCAATAATAAATAATTCATATAACAAGTTGAAAAATGCTCTAAACTATTTTAATAAATGAAAAGGTTGTTAATTTTGGAAAAGGCAGATGAGTGGACAATTTTTCTTTCAAAGGAATTTATAGACTTAACAGCTATTTTGAAACAACAGTTTGAGCGAATGGTAAATCAATCTATGTTTGTGCTAAAACGAGATTTGTAAAATTCAAATTTTGTATAAACATACATTGAGAAATTATCAGAAAAATTTTAAATAAATCAGCTTACTTGAGAAACTTTAAAGTGATTTGCATAAACATGTTGAATGTACATGTTGGTTTTACTTTAAGTTTGAAAACATTTGATTCTCAAATTTACATGGCAATATAATGAAAATACATGTGCTTACTATTTGTCACATATGATTTTAGGTAAAGTAAAATTCTAAGCCAGATAACACTTTAGTTATTTACTATATACATGTACACTTATTTACATAAAAAAAATTAGTTTTACTCATTAAAAGTTGCAATGTCACTATTTTCAGCTTCATCCTATTGATTTTCGCTTAAATTGCTGTCAAGAATGCTTATTTTAATTTTAAATCGTAATATACTTCTTTGTATTTGAGAGGTCAACTGTTCTGTTTCATTTGGTTTAAAAATTGTTAGATTAATATTTAATATTAACAATTGTTAGTTTTCTTCATATTCCATTGGTTTTCTTAAGCATTTGTGGCAAAGTTTTAACTTGAGATTTATAAATGAAGACAAGAGGTGAATATTTTGTATTAATTATCAATAAAGTTTCTAAAACAATTTGTCAGATAGAATGTAATACATAACCAGTTTTGCATCCTAACAGATCTACACGATTAAATCATGACGGTTGAATCTAAATGGGAAAGAATTTTGGCGATATTTCTTTTATTTCAATGCCTTTTGGCAATTGAAATATTTACTAGACCCAACAATGAAAAAGAGATCGGGAAAAATTACCAGTTTCTACTTTTGCAGTGCGGGTTACAATTATGTATTATAGAACGTGAGGCCCATGCCATGTGTTTGTCAATTAGCTTCAACCAAAAGATGTTAATGTGTGAATTGAATAGCCAGAAAGAAAGTGCGAGTTTATCTTTAGTAAATGATTGTGACTATATATACAGGGAAATACCAGATATTGTAAGTAATTATGTATATTCAGAAGTACATGTACCTGGGCTATATGCTTCCTTTTTTCAGCTTTTTTTTTTTTTTTTTTTTTTTTTGCTGTTCGGAGCATGATAATTTCTCTAAAATCACACTATGTTTAAGACTTCTCTAAATAAATAAAGGATGACTGTATATAACGAAATGCAAAATTTGCAACAAAATAAACTTTCAAAACAAACATTTTTCTTCAATTGGAAGAGTGATCATCATCTAATTTAGGAACTTCATGTTATTGTAAAAAATAAAGTATGTATTTACAGAGCGCAAATCTATTTTCTAAGGCGGGGGTCTTCCCCATTTCTTTAATGTCCGTACGATAATAAGGACGTCAACTTTTTTTTCTTGATATTATATATAGTCAGCACAAGTTTATCTATTGTTTTCCTTTAGCAGCAGTTGTATATTTGTTTTTGTAATAGTCTGTCAGTAATTGAAAAACTGCTTCTTCATACACTTGCTCTGTCTGTTGTTACATGTACCAAAGGCCATGACATGTTGATATCATAATTCAAACTAACTTACCCATTATGGTTTCAAACAATAAACATTTGAAAATTTTATACTCAGCTTTAATTTATGGGGTATGATTTCTCTCTTTTTAATCATTTTGTCATCCATCTTGATAAGCTATCACGATTCTTTTTTTTTTTCGGGGGGGAGGGGGGGTCGTGGACGAATAGATGAAAAACAAGATAGGATTTTACAACTTCTGAAAAAAAAATATTTTATTTCTGCATGCATTTGGTATTTTTAGAAAGATATGATGCTAGCTTAATGAAACTCTCCGGAATATTGGAATTTGACAATCATATGAGTATATTGTTTTGACTTAGCATTCGTCACTCATTTAAGGAGACTTTTGAATTTAAACTGTTTATTTTAAGTTAAGACATTTTAATTAAGAAGTATTCAAGATATCTAGCATCAAAAAAAATTGTTTCATACGAAAAAGCTGTATGAGACTCATAAGCTTTAAAGACAATAAATATCTTAAACGAAACAATTTACGAATTGTATTTAACATGTAAATGGCAAGTAAGAGTGTTCATGTTATAATCTCAAATAAAGCATTTAAATTGTTTTAAGCACAGCGTTCTACATATAAATTCAACAAAATGTCTTATCTACATCCAGTCAATTCAAAAAAATACATATTGCAATAATCTTTGTATCCTCAATTGTATGACCTTTTTACGAGGGTCGTTCAAAAAGTGTGTAGACGTTTGTTCTAACTTTTTCATTTTACGTTATATAAGATCCAAATTTGGTACATGTTTTACAAACAAACTCAAATAATTTGAGTTAAAAAATAGGAATATATCTTAACTTGTATCTAAATTATCAAGGATTCAGAACAAAAAATGGGGTCACAAAACAACGTCAAAATTGAATAATTGACTTTGTTTTCTTTGTAGAATTCAAATAAATAGAGCTGAAACAAAATAAACTTTACATGTTGTTATTCAGTTTTGCTAAATTACTTTAGATGCTAACAGGTATTGTAATATATCGTTCCGGTTAAAAGATATCACTTTCTAAATATATATGAACCTAATTAAAAAGTCTAAAAACCATGACGTTGGAGGACCTCACGGAGCAGCGAGTAGCAATAAAATTTTGCTTTGTACTTAGAAAACTTCTTTTACAACCTTTTAAACAATCTGCATAAACTAGGAAATATATGTAAAGTGATAAACATAGAATAAACTGTGTACGAGGGTCATTCAAAAAATACGTAGACAATGTTGCTCATCGTCATATTATTATTACAAGATTATAGATCAACACATTTTCGTAAATTAAAACATATTTTGTCGAAGTGTGAAGTTTCATTACATTTGATTAAATAAGAATCATGCTAGCCAATTTTTAAAACAACAAACAACATTTTTTTTTTTTGCGAGATCCTGCTAATATATAAAAGAGCTTTGTGAAAAGTCATGAGAAATTAAATGATTTATCTTTATTATTTAATTTTTGTTCATTTTTTCAATCTTGTTGAACAAAGTTTGAATGTTTTGTTGTTTCAGGTTGATTACAGGGATAAGAAATGTGGAAATAGTTCATGCAATCACTTCTCCAAATGTTTTCGCACAAAATTGGACAAATATGTCTGCATCGAAGTAGAAGGTATTTTGATTTGAAAAAAAATATTCAAATGTTTTTCTAATCTTCATCATTATTTTCTCTATTTATTTAAAAAAGGACAATGATATTAAGATTCAATTTCATCTGTATAAAGTTTCAATTTTTTTCTTTTCATCCGCAATTTTAATATTCATTTTTCTATTTTAATCGTACTATTGGAACATGATATAATATTCCTTCTCTAGTTAATGGAGGATGGAGTGAGTGGAACCCTTGCGGAGGTTTTTCAGTGACATGCAGGGGTGGGACTAGATCAGGAACACGCACTTGTGATAATCCTACACCGAGATTGGGAGGTCAGCTCTGCAATGGACAATCTTCAGATTCAACATCCTGCAACACGCATAACTGTTCTGGTATTTTCTTATATATAATTGATACATGTAATATATTTATTACATTTTTTATAAACATGAAATGCATTTTTTGATTTGAAAATGGAAGTGATATCCAATTAAAATATTTGTACTATTCATCGAACTAAAAAAAATGAAATTTATTATATCAACAAATTCATGAACTTTACATTCTTTGATTTATTAATATACATATATACAAATAATACACGACAGTTTTGTATATATTCTTAAAAATAGGCTGCACCTTTCCTTTTGATTGTTTTGACATCCACAATACTGGACAAAACAATACAGGCCTTTATTATATATGCCCTGGTAACATAAGCCGAGAATCTGTTCCAATTCAAGTTCTGTGTAACATGGAAGCATATGGAGGGGGCTGGACGGTATTTTTTAAAAACATGTTGAGCTTTATTCTAGTATTTTAATCTTAGAGAAATCAAAAATATGATGACGTCTGCATTATTTTGATAAAGAACGTTTTTTATCATTATTATTATTATTACGTTTTGGTTCAAATAAATGTTGAGACAAATTAAAAAAAGAACAAAACATGTTTTAGCGCGAGGGCATTCAGCACAGAAATCGAGGATGCACAGAGGTAAATTTCAATACCACTTGGAATGAATACAAACGAGGTTTTGGGAATGTTGGGGGGAATTATTGGCTGGGTAAGCTAATTGTAACATGGGTTTTTGATATCATTGACAGCTGCTTTTAAAAAAAATGGACTCGTAAATTAACTGACTTCGTCATTGGTCATTCGCAAAATTGTTTTGTTAAAACACATTCTGATTACACACACAAGTACTCTGAAGTCGACATAAAAAGATGCTTGAGTTCCAGATTGACAATATCTATGTGGTTGTTGGAGACCAGTTATTCCAACAATCTATTGTAATTCTCATGGGTACCAACTGCGCCCCTTTATTAGCAGAAGTATTTTTGTATTCATATGAAGCAGAATTTTTTGGAAAATCTTATGCATGAAAAGAAGAAAACACTTGCTGTGGCCTTCAACTCGACATTTAAATATATCGACCACGTATTGTAATTTCCATCCTTTGTCAATACGATATATCCTGGTGAGTTTGAGATAAAAGATACCACATAGTCTGACACATCTCTTTCGTACTTGGAAATTTTACTTGAATAAGACACTAATGGTAATCTAACAATCAAACTCTATGATAAACGTGATGACTTTAACTTTACTATTGTCAACTTCCCTTACTTATGCAGCAATAAACTTTCATCACCTCCATATGGAGTCTACATATCTCACTTGATTTGATACGCTAGAGCATGCTCTACGTATAAGCATTTTCTAAAACAATGTAATTTATTGACATAAAAGTTGATGAAAGAAGACTATCAGCACTCTCGTTTTAGATATCATTTAGTAAGTTCTATGGTCGAAACCACGACCTTGTCAGTTTTTATACTAATTGTTAGTCCATTATTTATACACCGAATTAACGACGTTAATGATCATTTCCTGATCATGACAAGGAGCACACGGCGGGTATGACCGGTTGATGCTCACTCCTCCATGGCACCTGATCCCACCTCTGTCCCTTTTTGTTCTGCTCCTATTTTGTATTGTTTTATGGACTATAATTTTGAATATTTTTCGTTATCTCGATCCATATCCTTCATTATTCTTATCCTTTTATTTATTTAAGTTTTGTCATAAATTATTTGGAAAAAAAAAATTGGGTGTTTATAACAAGATGCTTGTTTCAAAACGCAAGAAAATGATACAATATCATACAAAATTAAATTCATTTTATGTGTATAACTGCCAAAGATGAAAGCTATTAAAATGGTAATTTAAAATGGCCATTTCCGTTCACCGTAGCTGTAAATGCATATTTTGTGGATATTTTACTATTCAAAGAATAACAAAATATCCATGAAGTATGTTTTAAATGATTTATCAACGGTAATTAGAAAATATATATATCGCTGTAAGGTCATTAATGAATGATTTTTGAAAAGAAAAACAATTGACCTGATATTTGTACATATTTATAAAGATTCTTTATTCAATGTACAATATCCAACCTAATATATCATCATACATATTAAATCATTGAAGATAGTACACAATAGATAGTCCCTTTTCTCAAATTCATTTTTCATGATATGTGGTCATTCGATTATCAAAAACCATATGTTCTCGTGCATCAATACAAATATGGTGCTATATCATGAGCAATAACTTTTTTGCAAAAGAGCAAAATTACTTTATTAGGAAATCAATTATTTGAAAAAAAAAGAAAAATTAATTGAGATCATTTGTATCTAATTTAGGAAATGACGCCATTCATAGATTGACCTCAAAATACAACAACTCACTTTATATCAGATTGAGAAATACACAACATGTGTCATTTGAAGTTCAATATTCTGATTTTTACATCTCCGATGAAACTGACGGTTACAGACTCTCCTTAGGGGACAAAACAGGAACCATTGGAATATTACTTTTTCTTCGTATGTTTTATCATTTGATTCTTTTTTTATAATAAAAAAGAAGGCAATGTTAAGAATATATTAAATCCACTTTAAAATAATTTTATGTCCTCTTATTCTGATAATTCTATGTATTCTTACATGTATTTTATATATTATAAATTATAAATATTTGAATTAAAATTTATCTTCAATGGAAAATTAAAGGCTATATTTTTTTTAGATGTTTTGGTTTTTTAGACGATGCATTTAGATCGTATTCGATCATCAGCTATCCCTTTTACACATTCGACCATGACACCAGGGAAAGGTGTGCTGATATGAATAAATCTGGATGGTGGTACCATTATTGTACTGTCGTGAATCTAAATGCTCCTTTTTCCCAAAACCACAGAGATCCTGTTTGGTATGGAAGTATTACGTATGGAAGCGAACTTTTTCTTTCGGAGATGTTGATAAGAAGAAAATCGTAAATAAAAATAATTGCGAAAACAAGCCGAGGATATACTAAAGAAAAAGACGTATTGTACAGTGTTGTTACATCTTTTTCTGATTGTTATCATTCTTGTCAGTAATCAAAAATACATGTACAAATATTCGTATCATGTTCATGGAATAGTAAAGTAATATTGTTTTTAATATAAAAAACAATTTTATTTTACGTTTAGGTCGATGATGATAATATTAATAAGACATTGATGTGTTTAAAATCAAGAATCATGCAAAACGTTTTTTTTTTTTTTTTTTTGTTTTTTTTTTATGGAAATACATTAATAATAGTTTTGCTTCGTTTGATATTGTACAAAAAAGGAAAATGAAAAATGTCTTCTTTTTTCTCTAATTAATGACAAGACAAATCACGCAAAAAATAATTAAACAAAAAAAATACAGTTTTTAAACACCCGAAACATAAAGCGATTATTAAGGTATTAAATCCCAAATTAAGTGAAATTGAACAGGTAACTGATATGTAGGCATTGAAAAATCATTTTATTTAGACATATTTGCCATTTATTACTATCAGTATGTATAGTGGGATGTGTCCAAATTTATGACCTTGAGTTTTGGTAAAAGTTACCTCCCCTTTTATTAATTTATAAAAAAAAAATATTAAAAAAATTAAGCCGGTAAAAAAATTGTTTTCAATTGTCATTCTCTTTTAAATGTTTGAATGCATCTGTCTACCGCAGGATGTATTGATATTCAAATTATTTGAATTTTTATTTTGAAAAAAAAACGCTTTACCCCATTGACTTCAATGCAATCTTTGTTAATTAACTACTGCTTAATTTATGACATTTTTAAAACTTCTCGCGGGCAATCCTTTCCCACTAAAAATGCTTTAATATAATATCAGTTTTTAATGTACTTGATGGACATTTAAGGGTAGGAAATTAGATCCCATTAGGGATGGTAATCCTTAATCTTTTACCTACTAACAAAACAAAAATGATTCAAATCGTACAATTAATTTCTCACACCAAACATTGCAATGTTGTAAATATGTCATATATTGATGACACAAATGAAACACATAAAATTTATTGATATTATATAACTCTCTACATATTTTTTTATGAAAATTACATATACAATCATAAAACATATTATTATCAATAAAATAACAGCATTTCAGAGAATTTGCAAATTAGGAAAAAAAATCAATCTTCGACATAAAATGCCTATCGTTCCGTTTATCAATTTAAGGAGGTTCAATCCTGAGCTTTTGAGCATATTTTGGTCTGGTTCTTCATTTCAAAATTCTGTATCATTTTTAAGTTCTAATATTAAATCTGGATTCTACAATTCAAATTGAACTATATTCAATGTAAAAAAAATTGCGTTTAAATTCCATTTAAATAAGATTATGCCAGGATCAATATTTCTTGGCTGAATCTTTTTTTTTTTAAGAAATAATCTTTTTTTTTCATTTTGAACTATAATAAAAAGTATTATTAATTTTAGATTACCATTTAAATTGGAGTTTCATCTAGTTGTATATTTATGACTCTTGTTTTCATTTTGTTCATCGTGGGACATATGTTTATTCCTATCTGTTCATATTTGTAGAACTATTACATGTGTATACAGACATTCAAAAGGACAAGCAGGGCATATGTTTATCGTTGCTGACTTAATTGTACAATTCCTTTTTTTTAATTTGACAGGTATAACTGCACTTTGCCCCTTTGTTTTGCTCCTTTCTTCTTGGGGTCTGAACTTGATTAATTTAATTTAAAGTATAAATTTAAACAAGTACATGACGGTTTCAGACCACAAGAATGTTTTTTTTTTTATATTATGTAATCAATCAATATATTATGTAATCACGATTTATATATTAATCATATTCATAATTCGGTTTCATTCTGCTGTGAATTTTTGATACTGATGATAAGTTGATTAATAATAATTTTATGGATTTCATGATCAATTATAACATAATTAATTACAAGTATTTTCTATAATTAAAGTCACATCAGTGGCAAAGTGCAACATACCTAAGTGTCTTGTTGTTTATGAGAATGGAGAGTAAAGGCGGTTTCTTTAAATTCTGCGGTAGTACAATAACTGTGAGATGGGTTCACGACAGTGCACGAAAATGTTCATGAACGAGAAGTTACACAGATTAATTATTATGTCAAAATGAATTTGCATTGGCAATTGTACATAAATAAATTTTAAGTTCTACATAAAATATTTCATGTAGATTGGAATGTTCTGCGTGTAAGAGTTATGGCGCTTGCATTATCCTTGGAAGGTTTTTGGCGTATCCAATTAGGAGAAGCAGATGCAAGCGATTCATTTAGTAAACGCCCAATGAAAATCGTGCGCGGTGAAAAATCTGGTCCCGGTCATTCAGATAGCGTCACTTTTAAGTTTCTTTTAGGACGC